TATAAGAGCTTCGCTCGCCTTCGGCTCGCTCGCTCAATAAATGATTACAACAGATCTATCTTCCTTATGCATTGTATTTATTATTCATACAACTAATCACATTTATTACACCACAATACACAACAATACGGTACACTTAATAATTTAATCGAATCTAAATCGTAATTGTGGTACAACAGTAATCGGTTAATAATGTGGAGGTATAAATAGCACACTTAATTCGATATCGTGTATAATTTACGATATACAACTGGTCAAGAATTCCGTTTAAATCTCAGACCTCTAAAATTGGTAATTCTTTGATCTACAATATGCCGTAGCGCGATAAATCCTTAATATTAAAACAGTACAGTTTCGGCATTTCACTCGCGCGATGGAGATATTGAACAATAATAATCGTTACGTTCTTATAATGTAGTAACTACTTGATATTCTGTATGCGCTACTAAAAAACAAACAAATTGTACGTTTTGATCTATCGCAGTTTTGCAATCTGTTTTCTTAATACATAATATGGACGTTGATTCAGTTTATCTTTTCTGCAATATTCATTTTGATTATTACTCCATATTGTATGTAAAATTATAAAAGCAACTATTATATCATTCCAAAAGTTTCTGCCATTTTAGATTTATCATAAAATATTTTTTTAAACAAAAATAATAAAAAATAGTTTGATCATTTAAAATTAAATTTTATAATATGAATCACTCAAGATTTTAATATTCTATTTACTGTTTTATATTTTCTATTTTATTAATGTAATGAATGTAAATAATTAAGAAGTTTCAAGGTTTAAAAAATTATCAGAATTTGCAGAGAATTACAAATTTTTTATTACTTTTACATTGATAGCTTACCATTATATCAATTTATCTGTTTACATTTCTAATTTTGATTTCTGAAAATATTTAATTAAAATTTTATGTTTGTAGTAAAAAATAATTTATTATTTTTTATTTGTAAGGATAAATTATAATTTTTTATTGTTATAAATTATTTTGATTGACATAAAAAATTTACAATAATTTATAATTCATTTTTGTAAGAAAATGAAAAATTTATTTCAGAAAAATGGCATAAACTTTTAGGATCAAACAAGGATCATTATTTTAATTTTTACGTCCCTTTGTAATAAAGTTGGAAGATTTTAAAATGTGAAAAAAGGTGGTAAACATTACTTTCAATCTTTTTCGTAATTTGTATCTATTGCTGTTCTCTAACACTTGAATATACGTACTAATTTTTGCGAATAGCCTGATATATTCTTTACTTATGCTAAAATTATTTTACGTTGATACATTTTATACACGTGATTATAGCGTAGGCGACGGAGACAGTGAATGTTTGGAGCTGAAACGATGAGACAATATAAATAATAATAATTAAAGGATATAATATCTTTTACAAAAATTTCTCTCATCATCGATGTCGTGCAATTGTCTCTGAATCGAGTGTTTTTGTCCATTATATTGATCTCTGTTAACGTGGCCATTTTATAACATTTTATGTAACATGCATAATTGTTTTAATAAATAGTAATGTTTTTTTAAATATCTCTGTTACAGATTTTAGTAAAAATATAAGTACTGTAGAAAATGAGATATGAATTATATTTCCTTTCAATGTTTATTGCAATTTAAAACAGAAATTGAAAATTGATGTTATACATTTTTTTGTTATTATAGTAACAGAATATATGTGTTTATTTAGAAAGAAAAACAGATTGAATATTAGTTAAATATAATACACTTTTTAGGATACTTTAAAGACAGGATATTGCAAAAAGTGATTTGCAAAAAAAAAAGAAATAAAAATTAAAAAGTGAAAAGAACTTAATTTTTAAAAAAACTTTAATATGTATAGTAATCAATTGAAAGAAAATAAAAGAAAATAATTGTAGTGACATCTCCATATTTTTTATTACAAAAAGCAATTTAGCTAATTTAAAAGAAATAGATTAAAATAAAAAATGAAAATAACTCTTCTGTTGTTATTAGAATATAAAGCTAGTTATTTAAAAAAAATTGCAGTAAGAACAGAAAATAGTAAAACTGAAGAATATACAAAACCCTTGACAGACTTCTAATATTTAAAGTCTTTGATGAAATGAAAAGTAATTGTTACAGAGAATAGCAATCTTTTGTTACAAAAATATATTTTGATTTATTCAAAAAATTAAACTAAAATAAAATGAACAAAATAATTGCAGAGAATTTTGTTCTCTTTCATAGAACTATTTAAAATGATAAATTGAATTCACAGATCACAAATTGAAATAGAATTGAAGTATGAATCGATTTAAGTCAATATAAAAGCTGTTGCAGATATAAAAGGTGGTAAGATGGCCACGTATGTCAGAAGTTGAAATACGTCACTTTATGCTAGTTTTCTTTGTAATATGCGATAGTAAGTCGTCTGGTGCGATCGCATGAACGTTCAAAGCGTTCGATATTCATTAATCATTAATATCGTAAGTACATAGATACATTGTTGATTGCGGTACGCAAAACTGTATTTAGCCGTGGATACCGCTTCTACAAGTTACGATCTTCAAAGCGAAATTTCTCAATTAAATCTTCTTTCGACGCGTACAATTTTCCTTGATTATTCGTAACAAAAGGAATTTTTTTCATTGCATATTTTTAATAATATAAATGAATTTTTCTTAAGGGTACATTTGTGATAACATAAACGAATTTGTCTCAATTTTATATTTGTAATAATTCACAAAAATTCAGTATTCAGAGTACATATCTATCCAAAACATTTTTGTTTTAAATAAATAAAGTTCTTTGACATTGCAAATAAAAAATTTGATGCAAGTATTTAGTACAATTTTTACAACAGAACAATTTACAGCTCAAATAAAATTGATTGTAATCAGAATTTCAATATTACAAATTTTGTAATCTTTCATGAATTACTGAATTTTTTAGTAATTACTTTTTCACGTAGAATGTCCTAAATAACTAAAAGAAAATATATACATAATTCCATGTAAAATTCTAAAGGCATAAACAAAACTTATATCATTTAAAACATTTTTTTAGACAAAAAATTCAGGTGCTAAAATGAGATGCTTTTTGTTTCTAAAAATAATGTACATAAATGTAACGCATATGTAAATTAAACGAAATGAAGAATAAAAATGTACATATATTTTGCATAATTATTTCTTTTGATACACTTAACATGTGCAAAATGATTGTAACATTTTTAAAATTGTTTTCAGTATTTGTATACTGAAGGTTTTAACGTGAATTCAAAATTGACTCAGCATTCGAGGGTTAAACACAAAAGCTACACGATACAAATGTCCGTCACAGTTAGGAACTTACATTTCAAGCACGACATTTATTCAATCAATGAGTCGTTTTATTCGGTTGGTAAAATTTTCATAATCGGGATAGTTTTTTATTGTCAAAGTACATATTTTAGGGTACGTATTAGGTTGGCAACTAAATTCGCGGTTCTCGTATTTTTTCCATATAGAAATTATTAGAGAATTTATAAATTAGTAATTTTTAATTAAAGTAATGATAATTATTTGCCATATTCGTGATGATTTTTCAATTGCAAAATACAGAGAAAAGCCGGGAACTTAGTTACCAATCTAATTAAAAGGAAAAAACAACCCCTAACACTTTCAAATCCAACTGTGTAATATTACACGTTCCAGAGCGGCAACCCCTGCACTTGTTACCTTGGGATCGAACGTGTCTATCTTCGGAAGAACGATTCTTTTTATCACGCGACGCGACAGTGAAAGGAAAAATTGTCGATTTTCTATTATACATATATATTTATATCTTTCCTAAGAAATTTCGTGGAAGGTCGCAACAAATATTATCGTCAAAGTAAAATAAATAACACGTTGCTTCATACCTTCGTATAAATGTTAATTATCGTAACTTTAATTAATGTGTAATAATTACGATAATTTCTCTGGTATTAAGTAGGTCAACCGGTGATTATGATGACATTATTCAGAATACGCAAAAATTTCCATCGTCTATTAAGTATTTGAAACAAATTTTTAACATGTGTTATGTTAACGTTGGTCAATATATGTAATGAAGGACATAACCATATCTACTGACATATTTACAGTTTTAATTTGTGTGAAAAGATATAAAATAAAAGTGGGAGGGACATCCCCTTTCTATGACAGGGATCTCTTTTTTATTGTTTATAAACATAAGTCACTCATGTGTCATATACTTCATATACGTCACCATGTGACGTGTGTCATATATTTCACATTTACATAGTTTGTAATACATTGTTATTTGAGCTTGCGTTTCATAGTAAGTGGTCATCTGAACCTTCAACAATTTTTAATACAAAAGGTCAATCATGGAATACTATAAGCCATTTCATTTTAAAAAAATTTTTTGCAGTACGAACAAACTAGAATTTACGTTTTTGCATTAATTTTACATTAAACAAAATGTAATGCATTATACATTAAACATGAAGTGTGATATCTTTTTTTTATGTAAATAATAGTGATACTCTATCTTTGACTTCTAAAAATAATTGTTTTGTTCCTTTGATATCGCTCACATATGCTCATTAAATGAAACAATGTTTGGAAAGGGGAAAATTAATAAGAAAAGATTTAATGTTAAATCACTACATTGTGAATAAAGTGATAACTTCTCAAGAAATGATTGTGGGAAAGTTGAAAGATACTCACAAATATTTAACTAAAATATAAACCAGTACATGTACTGTATTAAATTAATTTATGAAGCAAATAACATGTATATCAATTTCTGCGATTTCTGTGGTGTACTAGATTGGTAAGTTCAAATGAATATTTATTTTTTAATATCTATAATCATGTCTATCATCACTTTTTCAGATCTTAGTTTGCTGTAGTATTGCTTTGTATTATTTTGTAAATATTCTGTGAATGACAAAATTTTCAAAGAAGTAAGGCATCTTCCCCAATTTCAATTTATGTTAAAGTTACAGAAAATTTATTAAATTTTGTGTAAACCTAAGAAAAATCATAATATAATCAAGATTTGTAAAATTAGCACTTTCTTACTTAATACTTTTATACAGTGGAAGTATTTAGTTAATAATGACCTAAAAATCATATTAAGATGATATACTTTTCCTTGTTTTTTATAATGACATTTACATTGGTAAGTGTACAAAATAGCAACAAATATTGAATTTACAGACAATTCATTGATAACTATATTTGTATAAGAGAACAAATATTTTTATATCTTTGTTCATTATTATGTTAAAAAATTGTTTGAAAAACGATGAAATTTTTTGCGTATCATTAATATTTCGACACATTTCGAGCTTAGCCTCTATATTTCTTCGATAATCGCTACTTCTATCATCTATCGCTACTACTACCGATAATAATACTACTAGTAATAATATCAACTAGAAAAAAAAGAATCTTAATAATTTATATAGAAAATGTACAAGAAAATCTACATTCAACGTACGCGTATATCTTTATAAATGTGCTCGATTCGCGATGATCGAATGAGAGGAGAATAAATAAATAAAAAAAAAATGGCGGGGTGGGGGGAAGAAAAGAAGAAAGATGGGAAGCCTTGTGGCATTGGGAAAAGACCGTACCATTTACAAACTTTGTAAAATGTCTAACTGTAATAAGAGAGATGGAATATTGCAAATTTTCAGGAACAATTCATTAAATAAATATTCAGAGTTACTGAATAATATTTGTGTAATTGAATTGCAACGTTATTCGTTAACATGGTGCGAATATTTTTTAAAGAAACAAAAGCTTTCCTCTCGAATTTGATTAAAAAATTTCAACAACACACGTTATCGAATTGTACAATTAAATTTGCAACATACCAGTAGTAACAAAATAAAAATTACAATATTTTGTACGAAACGTTAGTTACAACTGATATGCGATACAACTAATTCTAATCCGCTATCCAATACTGCACATTTGATTCGTATTAATACATTTAATGGAATATATTCATATTTGTTTTTTTTTGAGCAAAAGGGGCTAATAAAAATTGTGACATATTTTGTTATGCAAAAATGGAGTACAACGCTGCCGTTTAAGTCGCGACACACTTTGAACACGTATATAAAATCAATTCGAGAATCGTATATTTATAAAACGCAATCTTTTTCGTTTGCTCTTCTCTTATATACGATCAATAAAAAAGAAGTATAGTTTATAAATCCATAGGAAATGTATATGTATATCGATATTAATTCTAAATCTAATTTTAATACAAGATATTGCATTTATTTGCTTTTTTTTTGGTTTGATGAAATGCACGTGGGAAATCTGTATGTTTAATGTACAGTTATTCTTTTAATTTAGACAAATGTGTTTTTTAAGATGTTGAAGGACACGAGGAATTTTTTGCAAGAGTGACGAATATTACTTCTATATAGAAGAAACAGGTAGGACTTCGATATTCTCGTTTTAAAAAATTCTATACTAATTAAAGTTATATTATATTTAAGAAAGTTCTACAAAATGATGTATACAATGATTTTGAATTGTTTGTAATAATTACAAAAGTTCATTGTTAACAGACACATATAAAAAGATTAGTTTAAAAAGTTTGGCACATATTTGTTTTTAAAATGAAATTAGCAGATCAAATTTTGGCATAGTTAGTTTAATACAATGATTCTTAGTAATATTTTGTTATTAATTAATCAAATATTATTTGCATATTTAATTATATTTCCGCAAAACTTGTAGTATCAAATTAATTGTTTAAAGTATATGCATTTATTATTTTTTTGCTTAAAATACGCATACTGTTAAAAAGTTGGCTTTGTGCGTAAATTTTTGCTTCAATATACCTCATTTCCTTATAAATGCTATTATAAGCGTTTTCATAAATTGCAATATTAGGAAAACCTCTAATAAACAATGACATGTTTGATTGAAAATGATACTAAATGTTTTTTTACATTTTGTTTTGAGTGACTGATAAACATTAAAATAAATCCAATAATAGAGTGAAATTATTAGAAATAATTTCTAAAATGTTATTTAATTAAAGTAAACAAGACATTAGTAAGTTTAAAATGTCAGACAAAAATAAAATGTATCAGATTGAATTATACCAAGTCATACAAAGTTAATTTTATGATATAAAGATATTGGTATATTGGTTTCAAGTGCAAAATGTGAAGAAAACTAAATGAACATCACGTTAATATTCTTTATAAAACATGACAAGTGGTTAGTAACTGCAAACCATGACCAATTTGAAACATGTAGAGTCTAATATAATTTTGACATAAAAATGTTGCAAAATGGTACTTAAAATATATCAATTTAAAGCTTAAAACTGGAAGAATGCGTTTGCATAAACGACTCATCGATATCTTTATTATTTTTAAAGATAGATGATCGAGAATTAGATATTTAATAATGGAGAATACTAGCTATAGATGGGTACATTCATTATTTGCCCCAAAGAAAAATGATTGATACTGAGAACATTAACAAAACTTATATTGTTATTTTTGTTGAATTTCTAGCTTTAATTTGGTACATCATAAGCAGTACTTTGAGATACTTTTATGTCATGAAATTGTTTTTGACTTTTTAGGTTTTTAAACTGTATATTTGATATAATACAAAAACATTGAACAAGTGAATATCAGCCATGTTATATGAAAAATGTTAATGAAGCCTTCATGTAGCAACTTTGGTAAATCTTTAAGCTTTAAATTGATGTGTCACAAATGGTACAACATTTTTATGTCATGATATTATCTCTGACTTTTAAGGCCAACTGTATATGTGATATAGTACAAGAACATTGTTTGCTACAAGTAAAAAGTCATTTCATATGAAGAATATTAACAAAGCTTATACAATAATTCTGTGCAAAAATTTTCATGGATCTTTAAGCTTTACATAGATATACCATAAGAGTAAATTCTTGACATCTTTACATCATAACTTTTCAAGATTTGAAATCATGCATTCGACACAATATAATATTTGATTAACAAGATCTTCTTCTATATAGATGCATCCTACAGATCCTTATATACTCGATTATTATTCAAATGATGTCTTTCAGTCGCAATAAATGAGGTGTCACTTGTACACGACATCGAATTCAGTTCTCCTGAATAATTCTCTGTGTATACTAGTTGAGTTCTCACTTGCATTTCACTTCGTATGCCGTTTACTTTATTACTTATCGTTAATCTTAGGACGTCGTCGAGTATTCCGTGCGAAAAAACAAACCTAGATGTAGGTATGCGAGTAGATACAGCAGCTATTGGCAGCTTGAAAATGAACGGTGCAACCTTCCTACGAGAGTACGAGTTGTCTTCAAAGGTTTTAACTTCTATTTCTTTTTCCCTATCTCTCTTTTACTTGTCCTCTCCCATTTCCCTTCTTTCTCCGTCTATATTTCCTTGGGTTCAGGCGGGAATTATTAGTTCAATGGCACGATCTCGCCCTTCGTTGGAAGCGTCGCATTCGGCGATGCCACTCGTCGCGCCACTCGATCACGATCGACCTCTGCGTTACTGTCAGTCCACCTTGACCCCCGCCGTCACTCTCTTGGCCAAGTATCAAGTATGACCTGAAAATTACACATTCGTTTTAACGATCTCATAGCTGTGATTATACAGGCTGTCCCACAAAACTGGAACAGGTTTTCTAAACTCGTTGAAAACACAAGAAAATGTTCATACAAGTTAACACTAAATCTGTTAACATTAACACTAAACAAGTTAACCTAACCAATCGGCTCATTTCGGCCATCGACAAATTTTCTTTTTAACACGTTTGCATACATGAATGTTGCAGCACACCATGTTCATTGTAATGCAAAATGTCATAAATTATAAAGCTTTAAAGAATTATGTATCATTAGTGAAAAATCTGTCGGTAATAGTGGTGCAGCGTGCGATTAACTTTCTAATTCAGATGAATTTGTTGGTAAAAATTAAAATTCGATTAACCCCATCTAGCGAGTCGTGTTTTGGAGCTGCTCCTGGTAGCAGGATTGCAGAAAAACGAGGAGGTATCCGGAGTATTAAGAGCTTTCCCGCGCGACTGCGCGCATGCGCAGAACTACATTTACTCCAGTTCTCCAACATGGCGTCTGACGTAGTAAATGAAATTAATGGGAGAGCAACATTAATTACTCGTCCTTCATGTATAGTTTATGTATTTTTATGATCAAAGAATGATCAATAAGTCATATTCTTTTCGCTTATGCAATATTCATTAAGATTTTAGTCAGAAATAATTAACTATTCTCATTACGAAACCCAGATAGTTCATAGGAAAGATACATTAAGTACTAGATTTTAGTGTATAATTTATGCTCTTTTATAATTAAAAAATAATCTGTGATTCAGTACATATTTTTTCATGCAACATTTGTTACAATTTGAAATGAGAGCATTTACTGACAGTTCCTTGTAAGGGTAACACTGGTACGATAACATTTTTGATTCACAAAAATCCGTCGATAAAAGTTAGAATTTGATCAGCGCCATCTAGTGGGCGGTGTTTTGAAGCTGCTCCTGGTAGCAGGATCGCAGAAAAGCGAGGAGGTATTCGGAATAATAATGGCTGCCTCACGCGCATGCGCATGGCGGTCAGACTGGCGCCACCTCCACTATGGCGTCTTGTGGAATATAAAATATAGATGTTAGATAATCATTAATTATTCCTTTCTAGAGTACAATTTATGGACATTTTAGATTAAAGAACAATCTTTGATTCATTATCTTATTTCTCATATAACATTTGTTAAGATTTTATTCGATGGTAATTATTTATTAATAATTATCTCAATGCATTATTAATAACCATACATTAAGAAATTGTATTTATAATTTTTATATGAGAACGGTACCATTGAAATGTAGTTTACTTTCTGATCATAAAAATCTATAAATTGTTATTTGTTTTCACAAAATCAATAATTAATAAATCATTAATTTTACGTATTTTGAGAGGCGCCATGTAGGGAAGGTGGCGCGAGTTTGATTCTACTGCGCATGCGCACGATTGCACGAGAAACCTGATACTCCGAATACCTCCTCGCTTTTTTGCGATCCTGTTACCAGGAGCAGGGTAAAAACGCCATCCGCTAGATGGCGCTGATCGAATTTTAATGTTATCGACTGATATTTAATGAAATATACATAGTACATACATTCAAAATAAGGAAGGGCAATTTTAATGTACTGAATTTATTTGGAATAAGTTATGGATATATATTAATGTTGTTAAAGTTCTTGGATTATCTAGTAATATTTAAAATTAGTATTTAGTATAATTTAATATTAAATATTTATTATTCATTAATATTCAATATTAGTTTGTTGACGATCAGTAGCTCAATTAATCTCTTTTGGTGCAAGATTAGTTCTAATACTATTTAAAATAATTATTTTTATTGTCAGAATTTTCATTTTTCACATAATTAATTTTTAACTGATATATGATTACACAAAATGGTATAAAGCCTTCGTGTCTGACACACGTAATCTTCCATGGATTTTTATGATCGAATACTTTTTCTGCAAACTGTAAACATTTGTATAGAAATATTTAAATGAAATAAATAATGAAACTCACTTATTTGGCTTGATTTTGGGGCATCTGCAGGCTAAATCAGCCGAGTGTACGTAAAGAAATACGTCACCACGACGAATCCTCGAGTTCGAAGACTTCTTATAAATGAAGTTAACGTCTAAGGTGAAACGTATCCAAACTGAACCGGACACGCTTGTCCCAGCCGGAGAACCGTCGTTCTTTTTGTGCCTGTCTGTTATTCTACCCAGGATAGCTAAGAGAAACCAGAAAAAGAAAGAAAAATATCTTCAATTTCCTTTTCAGAAATGTGTTATTTTAAACGACACTATTCATAGCGGGTACAGAACGATGCAAAATTTCATTTCCGTACTGTTTTTCTTATAATTCCATTATTACTGATCGAGCATGCGCTTAATTACTGCAAAAACTTATATTTATTCTTGAAGAATTCTTAGAATTACTTTTTCAAGGTTTCTTATTACTTTTTTGAAATACTTGGAGGTTAATTGTTTCTTATAATTAATTCTTATAATCTTGTTGCTTATAATTAATGGTATTATGAGAAAAACAAATTTTGCAGCACTCTATATTTTATGAAACTTTAAAAATTTTATATTTTATCGAAACTTTGAAGTTATTTTGATAGCAATTATTAAGTAATTGTAATTGAACAAGTTTTATATTTATAGCAATTGAGTAATTGTCAAAAATTAATTTTATATTGATAATAACTATCAAGTAATCAAAACAAATAATAATTTAATAACTCATTTAAATTATTTAATAAATAATTTAAAAACTACTTATTTTATGTAAACAATAAATGAATGTACTTATAACATTAAATATAATTATTCAAAATATTACAATTTCTTCATAATATATTGTATAAGCACATGCTTAAAATTTTTTAATTTCAAATTAATCTGAATGTTTAATTAAACAATTTGAAACAAAATTATGAATTAAATCGAATTACAAAAATTTCTAGTAAAAATAAAATAAAAAAGCTATTAATAATTTAATAAAATGTAAAATAAAAATAAAAAAGGAGGTTTAGCGCAATTTATGTATTAAGTGAAAAGGACTTTTTATAGAAAATTAATTAATATTAACTTACCATAGTCTCTTTTGCAGTATTTGTTTAAGTTTAATCTTTTAGTGCTGGCTCGACATTTTCCACACTGATCTGTAATAGACAAAACAAAAATGAAAATTAATTTACTATTCATGCAAACAATTAATAATATTTTATATTGCATGATCAAATTTGTAGTATATAAATATACATCGTGTTTAAAACGTGTAAAGTGACGTTTTATCACGTTTAAAAAGTAATACAGTGACATCAATCAAACTTAGAAGTAATTTAGGCTCATTTTTAATAATTACTTCCTTACAGTCACCAAGAGTAACACAAATTCTTTTGACCCGGTTAGTGTTCTCATCTAATAAATTAAAACGCAGGGGAGCTTATGGTATCATTCTGATTTTCTACTTGACTACCATAGAGTGTGGGAAGTTTAAATGCCATGAGTTATTAGACACATTATTTGTTACGATGCTTGGATTTTATACCTGAAAATATGCTGGATTTTATTCTTGAAATTCCTTTCTTATGAATATTTTGTACAACGATATAAACTAAAAATTAAGTGAGCGATCATGTACAGTAGCAATTTTCAATTTTCAATTTGCAGTCTCTTAAATTTTTAAAAGTTTAACTTTATAAATTTGCAAATTGTCGAAGTTCTAAAAAATTACTAAATTCTTAAACTTTTGAATTCCTAAATCTATCAAGAAATGCAAATTTTCAAATTCTCAAATTTTTAAATACTCTAATTCCCTAATCTCCAAAATTCAAAAATTCGCCAGATACCCCCAATTCTCAAATTCCCCAAATTCCCCAAATTCTCAAAATTTCCTAAATTCACAAATTCCAAAACTCCTCAGATTCACCAGATCCCTTCAATTTCCCACATTCCCCAAATTAACAAATTTCCCAATTTCCAAATTCCCAAATTCTCAAATTCCAAGATTCCTCAAATTCCCGAAATTCCCGAAATTCCCGAAATTCCCAAATTTACAAATTCCAAAATTTCCCAAATTTACAAATTCCCCAATTTCCTAATTCCAAAATTCCTAAAATTCCCAAATTTACAAATTCCCCAAATTCCTAATTCCCAAATTCCCTAATTCCTAAATTCCTCAATTCCAAAATTCCCCAAATTCTCCAAATTCCCAAATTTACAAATTCCAAAACTCCCCAGGTTCCCCAGATTCCCCAAATTTGTCAAATTCCCCAATTTACAAATTCCATACTTCCTAAATTCCCCAAATTTTCCTGATTCCTCAAATTCCCCAAATTTACAAATTCCCCAATTTCCTAATTCCAAAATTCCTAAAATTCCCAAATTTACAAATTCCCCAAATTCCTAATTCCCAAATTCCCTAATTCCTAAATTCCTCAATTCCAAAATTCCCCAAATTCTCCAAATTCCCAAATTTACAAATTCCAAAACTCCCCAGGTTCCCCAGATTCCCCAAATTTGTCAAATTCCCCAATTTACAAATTCCATAATTCCTAAATTCCCCAAATTCCCCAAATTTACAAAATTCCCAATTTCCTAATTCCCAAATTCCTCAATTCCAAAATTCCCCAAATTCTCCAAATTCCCAAATTTACAAATTCCAAAACTCCCCAGGTTCCCCAGATTCCCCAAATTTGTCAAATTCCCCAATTTACAAATTCCATAATTCCTAAATTCCCCAAATTCCCCAAATTTACAAAATTCCCAATTTCCTAATTCCCAAATTCCTCAATTCCAAAATTCCCCAAATTCTCCAAATTCCCAAATTTACAAATTCCAAAACTCCCCAGGTTCCCCAGATTCCCCAAATTTGTCAAATTCCCCAATTTACAAATTCCATAATTCCTAAATTCCCCAAATTCCCCAAATTTACAAAATTCCCAATTTCCTAATTCCCAAATTCCTCAATTCCAAAATTCCCCAAATTCCCCAAATTCCCCAAATTTACAAATTTCAAAATTCCTAAATTCCCCAAATTTACAAATTCCCCAATTTCCTAATTCCCAAATTCCTAAATTTTTATATTCACAAAGTATTTAATACAAGGAAAAAATTCCTGAATCAAATTATACTTGTCCCAATAATATTTATTATTAAAAATATTATTATAAAATCAGATACCAAACAAAACTATAATAAATATCAAACAAGAACAGAGAACTGTAAGGACAACCATAAAGGAATTGAGATCGAAGCTTATCTTTTCGCATTTGAAGATTATGTTCGATGAATTGGCACGTTATCCTGTGAAATATATTACCGGTACCCTTCATGAAGATTATTAGTTACGCCTAGGTTAAGAACCACTGGACTGTAACGTATTCCAGAGAAAATTAATTGCACGACTTGGAGACGAGGACACGTTATACGCTGACCACGCTGTTTCAGATAATAGATGGACACCGTTGGGCTAGATAATAAATGGATAGATGCACCCACAGCTGTCACTGATAATGGACAGTATTAAGTGTTAGAAAAGAAAGGAGGCTAAAGGCCATTCTTCCACTTGGTCCAGTCAAATCCAACAAAGAATTGTTCTAATTGTATGGAATACGTTACTGGCTTCAGAGAACGACACAGTTTGTTCCTGGCTCTTTCGAAGCAATTTATAAATTGTAAAATAAGGTCTGTATGCATTTTAGGTTATATCAACATGAATTTAATGTATTTTTTTTTTAACGGTGGGAGACTTATATTTGTTTGAGTCACATCTTCAAATCCGAGTGTGTGATTTTACATATGTGTTATAGGTGAGGAGCGCGGTAACCAGTACCCCGGGATCGAACGTGTAAAAAATGTAAAACTGTACAAATCAAACTAACTCAGAATTACACATAATATAGAACATATCTTTCAACTAACGAAGCGGTAAATTTTTTCGGTTAACACGTTCAAAACTAACTGTGTAATATTACACATTACATACACGTAACGAGCGTGGTGTCCGGCCGGGATCGAACGTGTAAAAACGACAAACAGCAGGAATTACAGGTACAAAATCGCGGTGTTACGACATAAAAAAAGGATCGAACGTTTGCACGGAACGTTTCTAAATCAAATACCCGTTTTTTTTTCATCGGCATTTTTAGGATTTCGACAGACGTCTGGCGATAGACGAACGTGCGCCGTCTCGCACGAGCATGGAATTTTCATTATTTTTATTGGATAACGCAGCAGCTACAGGGAGAATCGATTGAATTTCAAACGAAATTCAAATTACGTACAATTTGGTTAGCCATCGGGACAGGCAGAAGCGAAGTAGAGCGAAACGTGTGTGCACCCGGTTGCGTGCAGTTTGGATTCGTAGTCCGGGGGATTCGGTGTGTTGTACGGATTCTATTATCGACTTGCAGCTACGGTTCATTAAAACGGCATAACATTTGCAAACAACGCTCTTTGCATTCCTGCCAATCCTTTCGACAAACATTCCAACCCCTGTTTTTTTATTCGTTAACCTTTTCTGTCGGGATTTTCTTTGGAAAATCGTTCGCGTTGTTTCGAAATTGTTCGAACGGGTGTTTCACTTCGTTACTTTACGCTGGTGTGCTCGATAATACTCGAAATAACTGCGTACTGTTACAGACTGCTTGTAAAACGATGTTCGTCGTAAAATGAATTTACCGATATTGGGTTGCGCCAGTTAAACAACGGCGTTGACTACAGAGGCTTTATTTCACGCTATACTTGTAGAAGGTGTAGATTGTTCAGATCGGATTGTAAGTGTTATATACGTATTTTATTGCGCGGGGAACAAAAAACTATATACTTCTCTTCTTATATTGCTAAAGTTTATATTGATGGAAATTATATAACGCTAACGTTTCTATTGAAATTTGTAATATTTGAGGAATTAGAAATTTGGTAATTTGAAATATTGATATTGTTTAACATCTTAATTTTTCAATTTCTACATTTCAAAATATGACATTATATGTATACATATAACTAACCTCTTGCTATATTGCAATTTGTGATATTGTTTCAGTATTATATATAATCTCGCGTTGTATTGCAATTTCTGATATTATTTTAGTATTATAAAATATAATTTGGCATTATATTCTATTTTTTATATTGTTCCCGTATTAAATATAACCTCGCGATATATTGCAATTTCTAATATTATTCTAGTATTATACAATATAATCTCGCGTTATATTACATTCTTTATATTGTTCGAGTATTATACATAACCTCGTGTTATATTGCAGTGTTTGATATCCTTCCAATATTATACAATATAATCTCGCGTTATATTGCAATTTCTTATATTGCACCGGTATTATATATAACCTCGTGTTATATTGCGATTTTTGATATCGTTCCAGTATTATATGAATCTCGCATTATATTGCAATTTTTTATATTGCTCCAGTATTATATATAACCTCGAGTTATATTGCAATTTTTTATATTGCTCCAATATTATATATAACCTTGCATTATATTGCAATATCTCACACATTTCAACATTGTACATAATTGCGTGTTATTTACTAATTCTCATATTGTTCCAACGTAACCTCACGTTATATTGCAATTTTTTATATTGTTCATATATTATACAATTTCATGTTATATTGCATTGTCTAATATATTCCTACGTTGTATGTAACCTCGTGTTACACTTCATATTGTTCAAACATTATATATAGCCTCGCGTTATATTGCAATATATTCTAATATTCTATATAACCATGCGTTATATTATAACACCTTACGTATATTCCAACATCGTACAGAATCACGCTTTATATTACAACTTCCCATCTATTTCAGCGTTCTATACAACCCCATATTTTATGATCCAAACGCTATAGAGCCAACCGTATGAGGAACCGTTACATCGGTGCGCGTTATATTAACATAAATACTATAACAAGTGGTATTATTACCACGTAGAATCGTAATATTAAAACTTGAATGGAGCATGAATATTGGCAAGAGTTCTTAGCAGGAAATGGCTATATAGCCGATGAACAGTTGCGGTAACAATTGACTTTTGACCCATAACATTGGATTTAGGTGGTTTGTCGGGTGATTGCGATACGTGGTTCAGTGGACTCGTTACGAAGAGTCGAACCAACGCCAGAAACCA